TTTTTGGAGAGCAAGGCTATGTAAATTCAATGGAAACGTCATGTCTATTCATATAATTGTGGGAAAATTCAACTACATATCCTTCATCACCTTACACGAAACAGGGTGAACATAAGAAAAATTATACCATTATAACTGATTGGATCTGACAATTTCTTCCACTGTGAAGATAACTAAAATTATGCTGCTATACAATTATCGAGTAAAACCACGCGTTCTGGAACCTAGCGATCATTGATCAGGGAATGCCATTAGAGTGCATTGGCGGCAGTCAAAAAAGACAATAAGGAATCATTCTGATGGCTAAAATGCGAACGTATCGTTAGATTGTTGCATAATATCTGAAAATTAATGTTAATATGGGTGAAAATGAAACGTATTTTTTGCAGGGAATATCAACTTTTGTAGTTCAGCACGCTCCTTAATGATTAATCATCAGTCGTGTCGGACATCCACCAATATCTCGTTCATTTATAATGCTTAGCCTGAAGCATATGGCGCATCTGATTACTTGCCATGGGGTGAGGCTGTACTCACTAATTCTAATTTATCAACGATGACTTTTATCATAACACTTTGTTCAGAGCTATTTACTGGGTTAAGTTTTTGATGATCATCTATTCTAAATAATCCATTTCTTTTTACTGGATTCCATTTTATCTAAAATCTAGTCGCGGAACGAGGTTCGGACTTCCTCCCGGCGTTCCATATCGTCATGACGAGTTTATTGCGTTTCTCTCAGTATCTGATGATGAGCTTGAATGTGAGAGAAGCGCCGAGGCCAGCCAAAATTACAAAATTTCCAAGGAGATGTTCGGCGAAGCTAAGGTAATGAGTGCTCTGGCACTTGAGGCTATATAAAAAGCTTCACATTTAAAGGTCTAATCATTTTTTAGCTTATCGAGGAGAGGAGCAAGATAATCACAGGCGGCATGGAGGTCTATAAGCCAGTTGGTGGATTTCCTAAGGTTAGTTCATTTTTAAACTTTAGATGTTTTATTATCAATAAATAAATACGAAAAACAATTATATCTTTTCCTACTGTTCTCTGGTGTAAAAATTAAATAGATGATTTTCGCTGTTGGGCATCAACACCTTTATCTTATTATCTTGTAAAACAGCAATTTATTATTGAATCGTCTTTTAATAAGGGATAGGAGTTAAGATAATAGTCCAGGGCATAGATCTTTGTCTCACTAGCCATTGCCAATGCATCTAATTTGAGAATTGTCGCTTTCATACGTGAAATCACTTGCAAATATCTTATTTAGTAGTTGCTTATATTCATAAGTACTACACGAAAAGTCTGAACTAACCGTCTCGGGTCAAACTGAGTTAGATTGAACGACGTCATTAAACCAAAAAACAATCTTCATTTCGGGACATACCAATGATTATAATTAAATGCATAGGCCTATTGCTTCGTTGGTAAATCAGATTTTTAAAAATTTGTTCTGAACAGCTCAACTATTCGTTTTCTAAAAGTCTATTGGACTGAGCTAGATCCCCTTCATTGCTCTTGATTTAATATAAGTTGCTTGATTTCTGTGAAATGTGATGAGT